GACTCAGATTGTGGCACGCCGATAAATATTCGTGCTCAGCCCAGGAGCTGATCCACCCGAGTAACCGTGGATGGATATCAACTCTTTGCCATCATTGCCTTCAGTAATGTCATCAAGCTAGCCTCATCTTTGGGCTATGCCGATCGGTTGCATATGCTGTCTCTTGGACAAGGCCAAGGTCCGAAGGCCGAAGCGCTCATCGATCGGGCCAGGGATAACGGTAGTCAAATGCATACTGATACTTGTCATGAGCTGTCGTTTGGCCTTCTTCTTAGGGGATTGGGTTATGCTACAAAATTGCCATCTTGCAGCCTCGTGGATGACGTCGCTCGAAAGGATACAAGTAACCGGTCCTTCATCGCTTCAACTGTCACGTCCCTGTTTTTCAAGGCTGAGCTCAATCCTGCCAGGATCAGCAAATCATATCGTCTATGGTTGACATCCATGCCGAGCAAGGCTTTCCCTGTCCCTGTGCTGCAAGCTGGCATCAAGATCACCAATGAGCCTCCCAAGGGCCTCCGTGCTAACTTAACGAGAAGCTTCCTGGCTATCTCTGAGGAGCTTTTCGAGGGGAATAGCAAGCCCAGAGCCTTCAAGAAGTTATTATTCGCTCTGGCGTTCTTTCATGCGGTCATACTGGAGCGGCGGAAGTTTGGACCGATCGGCTGGAATATTCCCTACGAATGGATGGACTCGGATTTCCAGGTGAGAGAAGTATCGTGAGCATCAGTGTAAAGATGTTGAGTAGGTGTCAACCGAGCAATTGGATATGTACCTCAACGACCAGCCAGGTGTACCACTGAGAACATTGAGCTATCTAGTAGCTGAAGTGAATTACGGCAAGGCTTGTTACTGGCAATGAGGCCTCTGAATATGGTTGTCTAGGTGGGAGAGTTACCGACGACAAAGACGTTCGCCTCATCACCGCTATTCTGGCTAGCTTCTTCCGCAATGAAACCGTGGAAGAGAGCAAGTGAGTCCTTCGGATATTTTCTGAGAGTACTTGATTTCTCGATCACTCCAGTTACCGCTTCTCGGCTGCTGATATGTACTACGCTCCAGATGCTACGGGTTTGAGTGACGTGAGGGAATTATATCTCTGCGTTACCTCAGGATGAGGATCCAATAGTAGTCTCGGTAGAGAATTG